CTAAAAGTAGTTAAGTGAGTTATATAACTAAATTATGGCTCTGCTACTTTCTAGCTGTCTGACGCTAGGCAAGAAACGTACCTTCTCTGAACCTCAGTTTTCTCATCTGGAAAGCAGCAATAGTAATAGTATCTACTTAACAGAGTTGTAGTGAGGACGCAGATGAAGCAGGCAAAATGCCCAGCATGGTGCGTGGACAGAAAAGGCACTCAGTCAGTGTTAGCTATGAGTGTAACTAGGCACTCAATACAGGTCTGTGGAACTAAGCTCTTGAGCCTCCCCATCGGGGTTTTGTTTGTCTTATTCAACCTCTGTATTCTAGTGTCCAGCACAATGCTTCACACATAATTAGAGCTCAATAAAAAAGTCTAAGTATTTAATAAAATGACGGAATTAACAGGCCTGGTTTCTTTTTGTTTGTTTGTTTTTGTGAGGAAGATCAGCCCTGAGCCAACATCCGTGCCAGTCCTTCTCTTTTTGCTGAGGAAGATTGGCCCTGAGCCCATCTGCCTCTACTTTATATGGGATGCCGCCATAGCATGGCCTGACAAGTGGTGTGTCAGTGCACGCCCGGGATCCGAACCCGGGCCGCCAGCAGCGGAGCGTGCGCACTTAACTGCTACGCCATGGGGCCGGCCCCCAACAGGCCTGTTTTTGCAGCTGTGAAATGAGACGAGCGGCTTAGGAAATCTCTGAGCCCCTCTCCAGCTGAGCCAGACTAGGATTCCGGGGTAATCCCAGGAGGCCCCCACATGGTGGGCTCCCCTTAGTGAAGGCCCTCATTGGTTCGTCCTATCCTCTCCTGTTGGCAGGCATCCTGAAAAACAGGGACCCCGACAGGGCAGATATCACCAGGTCCACCGTGGTGGCAGGTCAGGCAGAGGACGTGGGTGCCAGGTTCTGTGTGGGTCCCTGACGAGCATCCATGCAGGGCACAGAGCCCTGACACAGAGCCCAGCTTGCTGCCCGGCTGCCTGGCAAGAGGCTGGGACTCTTCCAGGCACCACCCAGAAGCTGGGGATCAAGAAAACCCCCATCATTGCCAGTCTGCTAGCCAAAAAGATACGTGGCCCCAAAGAAAATGGGAACAGCAGACAGGGGATGCCACCACCTTAATGAATAAGATGCCCATTCAGGGCAGAAGAGCTCACACATGCCAGGTCCTCTCTCCAGCCTGGGCTCCACCTGGGCTTGCTCCTCTGACCTCCCCCGACTGAGGTTCCGGCCAGCATTGCCAGTTGGGGATCCATGACGAGGCCTCACAGGTGCGGGCAGGGCAGTCTATGGGCGTGGTAGGAAAGGCCAGCAGCGTGAGTCCCTTTCCAGGTAAATGACATGTGGGATTGGAAGAGTTAGGGCAGCTGGCTGCGTCTATTTCATGCCAACTGCTTTCTCCCTGAGCCATAGAACTGGCACTGCCAAGAGGAACACGTCTATAGGGCACTGGAGTTGGAGTAACTTGGACATTTTCTTCCCCAGGTGGGCCATCAGCAGCCCTTTGCTTCTTTGGGGCAGGGAGGGAGATCTGCCATTTGGAGGATCAGAGGATGATTGGACATGCTGACCCGGCAGAAGGCTCCCGGTCCATGATGGGTAGATCCAGGTAGGAGATACCGGAAGAACCCGGGGCTGACAATATATTCTCTAAAGAGAGCAGGCTGCCCCTGGGCCAGAGTCTCCTCCATAGGAGGAGCAAAAAACCATGATGCCACATAACTTATCACAGCTGCAATCAACAAGCTCAGAGTCTGCCTTCCCCTCTAGAACCCAAGTTCCATGAGGACAGGCTGGGTGTATCTTGCTCACTGTTGCGAGCAGTGTCTGTGATGTTAGAGATCCTCACCATACTCTTGTTGGACCTGCATGTCTCCTCCGGACTTACTCCTCACGGGCCCTGGGCCCATTCCATTGGGTGAGGGGTTTGGAAGACCTCCCTGCTTCCTTCCTCCTCTTCCTGGAGCCCCCCTGTATCAGGAGGTGGCTTCTTTCCCCCTTTCTCGCACACACACAGCCTGATTGCTGGCTTGCCTCTCAGTGGAATGGTTAATAAGCCCTTGGGTGACATTAATTGCCATCAGCCATTAGGAGCCTAATGAGAATCATCTTCCTTGACGACTCCAGCACCTTCCATCCCCAGGGCCTCCAGGAGCTCAGCCAGCCCTCCCCACTGCACCTCCCTGCCCCTCTGAGCTCCAGACAGATGTAGAGGTGGGGGAGGGGCGAGAGCAGCTCTCCACAGGCCCCATTACCAAGCTGAGGCAGCAACCGCCAGCAGCCAGGGAGGAGGGAGGCTTCCAGGAATGGTCCAAGCCCATTTTCCAAAAAGCAAATGTCACTTTCCTGGATGAAAAGGAAACACATGGTCAAGAGGTCTAGGACCAATTCAGACAGACGGTGAGACTGAGCGCCCCAGCTGGCCTTGCTTTAACCTACCTCGCCCCACGCTCTCAGTCTGGTTGAGTGCAGAGGTATAGGAGGGGGTGATCCTCAAGATCCATAGATTCCCCCATAAGAGCTACGTCCACAGAATAGAAGACCCTCTCCCTTGAGAGTAGAGTGGGAGACCCGCTTCCTGGAGGTTGGGACATGATATCCAACGATGCTATAAAATCATTGTTATGGATCCAATGCCTGGCTGACAGTGGACGGTTGACCTGTCCGGTCTGATCTGGGTTGCGCTCTAATGGAACGGGCCTGACGGTGGGAAGGAACGCCACCCAGGCACCCCTTCCCCTCGTCAGCAGGTGCCTGGGTGAGTGTGCCAGAGGGGCAGTTCCCCACCCCCACCCCATGCCCCTTTAAAGGCTTGCAAAACAACCTGTAGGAAGGCACGTCCCCTTCTCTCCGCCTGCTCCCTCCTGCCCAGCAGCAGCGGACGGGTTTTCCCCCAGCTGCGCCCGGACCCATCCCCAAACGAAGCTGAGCCGGCGAGCTCCGGCGCGGCCCGAGAGGGGCTGGGCGCGGCAGCTCGGGTGATTCCCACCCAATGCCCCTGAGGGCCCCACGCAGACTCGGGGATCGGGGTAGGGTGCCCCCTACCCGCGCCTCTGGTTGAGCGGCCCTGGCGGGTAGTGTGCATCCTTTGAAAAGGGACATCGGTGGCTGCAGTGGCGTCTACCCGGGGGAAATGCAGCCGCCGCAGCCAGCCGGCCCCACTCCGGCCCCAGCGCTAGCCTGCACTGGGGAGAAAAAATAAAACACAAAACAGGGACGCGCGGAATCGCGAGGTCGGCCCTTGCCGGAGTATCATTAAGGAGCCGCGCGCGCCCCCAGGCTGGGAATGCGGAATGGACACGTGGACAGGGGAGGGGGGAGCTGGGAGAGGGGTGTCCTCCGTGGCGCGCGAGTCGTGGGCCGCGCGCTCCGGGCCCACGTGACCACGGGGAATCTGGGAGAGGAGGGGAAGGGAGCGAGCGCGCCAGGCTCGGCGCCCGCTACTGCCGGGGTGGGCGCTGAATCCCGGACGGGGGAGGAGGGCGGGCGAGCGCGAGTGTGTGTGTCTCTCTCTCGAGTCATTTACGGCGGAGCAGCCGGCGCGAGCGCCGAGGAGGCGGCGGCGGCGGCGGCGGCTGCTTCGTGCAACTGTGGCTCCCCCCACCTCCTCTTCCTTTTTGCTCCTTGATTCTTCTTCTCCCCCCACACACGTCCATGGGGAGCCGGCCTCCCTGCCGGCATCTCCTCTCCGCTCGGTCCCGTAGGCACCAGCTGCCGCCTCCTCGGCCGTGGGCTGCGCGGGTGCCGGGTGCCCTGGCCCCTGGCGTGGCGCCCGGGTCTCGCCGCCCGCAGCCCAGGCTGGCGCGGCGCTCGGCTCGCACAAACTGACTCCGAGCGAGCGAGAACCGATGCCCGGCTGCACCGAGACGGCGGGCGAGCGGGCATCCAGGGGCAGGGCGGGGGCGTCGGAGACTCTGAACCCCGGAAAAGTTCAAGGTTTGTGCAGGTCCCCCCGGGGAAGGCGAGGAGCGAGGCGTAGCAGTGCGCCCCTCTGCTGAGACAGTAAGACCTGGGAGGAGAGGGAGGCTGCCGGAGCTGCCGCGTGCTGGCGGAGCCTCTCTCCATCCTACTACGCTTACGGCTGGGAGGCTGGAGTCGGCGACCCAGGCAGGAAGGGTTAGAGTCAGGCGCATTAGCCGGCTTTCCCCTTCCCTCTCTTCTCCAAGCCCCATCTCCATGGGGCAGCCCGTTCTGGCCGCGTCACCCTCGCCCCAGCCGCGGAGCCGCTGCCCGGGCAAGCGGCGCTGAGCCGGCCTGTGGGGAGCCCGGGCTCTGGTCCAGACTGGAGAGAGCGCGCTGGAGCCGGGCAGCGAGCTCTGCGAGGGGAAGAGCCGCTGGCCACCCGCCTCAGGCATTCCGTCCCGGCGTCGCCTAGGATGGTGGCTATCCGCGTCGCCGGTCTCAGCACTGCACGGAAACTTTTCCTTCTCCAGATGGATTAAAGTTGCCTGGATTTTCTCTTTCTTTGGGAAAGAAATCATTCATTTGCACTTAACCCGGGATTTTTATGCTGGAGCTGCAGCAGGGCGCTTGGAGGAAGGAAGCCTCGCTATCCATGTGGGGTTACTACCGAAACCGGAGAAACTGGGGCTTGCGTTGGAAATCTGCACCCTTGAGCGAGTTCGGATTCGAGCTGGGCCGCGGGGCTGGGGGATCCTGCGCTTGGCTCTAGGCAGCCCCCGAGACGCCGGTGGCCACCGGGACCCGGGACCGCACGTGCGGCTCCCCCCTCGCCGCACAGATCCTGAAGGGGGCACCAGCCGGGGGAGCTGGAGGCTCCTTCCGCCCGGAGCTGCGCCCCCACCAGCTCCGAGGGTGTAGCCGGCGGAGCCTGGGACGCCCCTTCCCCTCAAAGTGTCCCCGAATTGCACTCCCTGGCCCCCCGAGCCTCAGCAGAGACAGCCTGGCGCCACGGCCACCCTGAGTTGGATGTGACCAAGCCCAGTCTGGGGACAAGTCGTCGTCGACTGTTGCCCCCTCGGCCGCCTCCCGCTCCCGCCTCGACCATGGCCCCAGGGATGTCGGGCCGCGGCGGCGCCGCCCTACTCTGCCTCTCGGCGCTGCTCGCCTACGGTAAGTGTGGCGGCGCGGACTCGGAAGTGAAGATGCGGCGGGCGCCGCTGGAGGGGGCACAGGGGAGACTGGAGAAAGGCGAACCCCCACCCCCTGCACTCGCAGCCGCCGCTCCCAGCTGGGCATCTCGGGCTGCAGCTCGAGTTACCTCCAGCCCCCAAGCCCTTTGGCGGGAGCGGAGGCTGCGAGCCCCGCCCCGGGGACCGAGCCCGGCCCAGGAAGGGGCGGGGGGCACAGGGGGGTCCCTCCAGGCTTCTCCTGCTTAGAAAGAAGGGTCCAAACCCGAACGTCTGGGGGCGTGTCCGCCCACGGAAATCTACAGGGATCTGAGGGATCCTCCAGATCGCGTCCAGGCCGCCGCTCCTGCCACTCCCTCCCCCGCAGCCGGCGGGGCTGGGGGCTTTGGGGTCTGCGGGGATCGTGGCTTCCTCCGCCGCTGGCGCGCAGGCCGGTGCGGGGCCGTGCCGCCCGCTGCCACGCTTCCTGCGGCGGCCCTCGAGAAGGGAAGTGGACTGACAGGGCCCGGGGAGCCGCGGCGGCTCGCCCGCCCGCCGTCCTGTGAGCTGCATCTAAATGGCCGGCTTAGCCGAGCCCGGAGAGCGGGGGTCTGGGAAGCGGGCGCAGGCCGGGGCGGCGGGCGGCGCGCGGAAGGAGCGGGCTCTGCGCTCGCGCGTTCTGCAATCTGTTGCGTCTGCTCCCCAGGCTCGCCTGGGGCTCCGAGGTAAAGGAGGTGGGAGAGGGAGGGGCCAGGGTTGGCGCGCTTCGCCAGTGGGACACCAGGGATACGCGTGGGGGACAGAGGGTCTCTGAACAACCCCCAGGAGTGGGAACTCAGATCCGACGGGAGGAGGCTGCAGCGGGCCTTCCGCAAGCTGGAGGCGCTCCAGGAGGCGAGGGCGCTGACCGAGGGGGAATGGAGAGAGCTGGTGGGGAAGGAGAATGGAGAAGAGAGTCCTTCTGCCCCTCCCAGCATGAAACCAGCCGACCCGGGACGCATTTCTCCAACCAGCAAGGGGGTGAGGGGGCACTTGAGCCCCACGCTGAGGGATGAGCCTGGACAGGTTGGAGAGGCAGTGGGCTCTCCGCGTTGGTGGAGGACCCTCGATGTGTCGTGCTCAGCTTTTGCCCACATCTAACCAGTTCTCAGGAACCTGCCAGGGCTCCGTGAGCGCGCCCAAGGTCTCTAACCAGCGGCCTCTCTCGCCTTGACCAAGACGCATTCTCAAGGTTGAAAGAATAATGAAAGGAACTGGCTCTGGGAGTCCAGGGTCCTGAGGCCAGGAGGGGTTGGGGAACAGGCTGACCTCCCCCTAGGGATGGATTGGTTCTTCCCTGCTGGAGAGTGACTACAGGGGGAAGGGGGCCTGTTTTGTGTTCAGTTCACCAGACTCAGCCAACCTCAGTTCTTTATCAGGAAAATGGGCAGGGCAGCGTTGGGGGTGGGGGGTGGGCACGGGGAACGCAGCTGGGAACCAGAAATCTCGGCTCCGTGTGTAAGACTGAGGGCGGCCAGGGGCTGGGGAGGTGGGCTCTGCATATCTGGCACTGGAGTGGCGGCGCAGTGCTGGTGACCCAGTCCTGGTGAACAGGGAGTTTGGGCGCCCAGCAGGAGGAAGGCGAGCTCAGACCTGGGTCTAGGTGTGGTTCTGCCCCCAGCCTGCATCCTGCTGCCAGAGTTCCCTTCCCACGGCTCAGCCATGGCCCCAGCTCTGGGCAGCTCAGATGCTCTGGCTCCCACTGCCTGCCTTCCTGACACCTCAGCCTGGTATTCAAGATCCTCTCTCCCTGTCGCCTGCCAGAATCCTGCCTGCTTCCTAAGGCCCAGCTCCAGGTGGGCCTTGCTGTCCTGGCACCGCTTCTCTCAGAGTCTTAGCAACCTGCCTCCTCTTCTCCTTAGATGTCAGTCTTCTCTGTGCCCTGTTAGTCCTGGAGACGGGGAGGCAGAACCCTGGGCTGGAGATGGGGAGGCAGAACCCTGGGCTTATTCTTCTCTGTCCCTCCACACAGCCAGGGCTTAGCACAGTGCCCGCCACAGGCAGGGCACAGGGTTGGTGGTGATCCGAAAGAAGCTATGTGAGGAGGTGGGGTGACGGTCCCCCACAGAGCAGGCATTTCTGCCTCCTGATTGTCTATCTAGTTCCCTTTCCAAGCTTCTTCCCTGTGTCACCATCCCATGCCTCAGTCTCCCCTTCCTCAGGGTAGGGTGCCAGTAGGTGCTCGCAGCTTGGGGACCCTCCAGATGGATAAGGCCAGAATCACAGAAGTTTCTCCCCCAAAAACCTGTCTCCCCTAGGCCTTTCCCCTTCAGGGCTGCCTAACACCCCCCCACCCACCCACACCGTCCCTCTCTCAGGAAATGGGTACATGGGTTTAGCCTCACTTCAGGCCAACTCTTGGTTGAGATTTCTGGTCTCTTTGAAGATGCTGTGGTGGGGGAGCATTTGCTCATTTCTTGTGCCTGGCAGGCTACTGAGGCCGCAGGGTTCTGACCTCACAGCCAGACTGGGAGCCGAATAGCCTGGGTTTCTGTCTGACTCTGGCGCCGTCGGGGAGGGTGACCTTGGGCTGCCTCCCTCGTATTCCCCGTCTTCCATAAGCATCGTGGCCTCTGGCCCATCCCTCCCCTTCTCACTTTCTGCCAGGACTGCTGGGCAGATACCTTGACTGAACGGAGCCCCACTACCTTGCAGAGCCCAGCTCAGCCTGTGGGGTGGTCTCCCGTTCTCCTGCACTGCTCCTGGTCTCAAGTCTTCTGCCAGAGAACATCTGTGAAGGCCATTCTCCTGCCTCTAGTCTTTGGGGAAGCTTTCTGCTCCATTTTTAGTTTAAACAGGAGTTTAGCGGGGCAGGGTGGTGGTTAAATCTGTTGGAGAGCTGATTATGCCAGCCCCCTACTCAGTAGCTTTCCCTGGTTCCCCATTGCCTATAGGATCAAGGATACACTCTTTGCCCCCCTGGCATCCAAGGCCCTTTATGATCTTGTCTCAATCTGCATTTTCACTTCTGTGATACTGCCATCCCTCCATCCTCCATGCACCTTATGAGGTATCGCTCTTCTCACCTTCCTGCCTTTCTTCTTCTGCACCCACCAGCCTTCCATCTGGAATACCCTGCCTCCAGAATCCTTACCTAGCCTTCAAAGCCCAGCTCAAACATCACCTCTTCCAGGGAGTCAGCCTAGATTACCCCTTGGTTTATCAGCAGCCCCCACCCCACCAACAGAAGGCATTGATCTCTTTCTGGTGCTGCCTTTCCAGCACTCCTCACGGGCTGCAGTGTCTCTGTGTGAAGGATGTATGTGGGCATACTTACATGTGCACCCCTCCTGATCCCCACAGACTTGTATTTAGGGCTGGAGCCATAGTTTCTTCGTTTTTGCTCCACTCTCTAGTGCTTGACTCAGAGTAGGTGCTCAGAGGAAATGAAAGGGGTGGGAAGACAACTCTATATTGGGGCGCCTCCCAGTGTCAACTGAAAAGGGAAGTCTGGGGTGTGAGGCAGAAGAGGGGAAGGAGAGGAGACAGGTAGAGACACCAGGAAGAGAGCAAGGGGACGGGGCAGGGCTGTGCACGCCCCTTGAGTGGCACATCCGGGATCCATGTGTCTGGGTGATGTGTCATAACAGTCCCACAGGATATGAATGTAGTGTCCCATGGCGCTCTGAATACGTGACCTCAGATGCATATGTCCTCACCTATGGGGCCCCCAACCCAGCAACCTGGAGTTTCTCCTCTGGGTTGTGTTCACGATTCTCCCTACCCCTTGATCACCCAAGCTCTGGACTCCTTCAGACGTGCAGGAGGGAGGCCGCAGGAAGACGGGGTCAGCCCGGGAGGCCCCTCACCGCTGGGAGTGAGCGATGATGCTTGCCCCCACACACGCCCATCTTCTTCTTGGCCACATGGAGCCCTGTGCCACAACATAGCCTTGTTAGTGTTTAAGGCCAGTAGGTGGGGATGTGTTATAAACTTGGTGGCAGAAAATGAGCTTTATTGGAATCCATTCTGAGGATGGCTCAGTGCTTGGCTGCAAGAGGTGAGGCCACTGTGGAACACCAGGGTGGGCTCCGGGCATCTCCCAGGCCCTCGCTGAGGACCTGCCTGGAACTGAGAGACCCCAGGTCTAATATGGTAGTGCATGCTCGTGATGCTGCAGAAATTGAAACCCTTAGCGGCACCGACTCCGACCCCCAGGGTCTGACCCCCGACCTGGGGCAGGGGGCGTGTGCTGGGGGAGGGTCTCGCTTTGTTGCCCTACACATGATGATGTCCATCCACAACAATGAAAGAGCATAGAACCACCAAATCCAACCCTCCCGTGGATGTGGAAATGGACCCTCCAGAGGGGAAGGGCCTGGCCAAGGTCACCCTGCCCATTCGTTCTGGAACCGGGACTAGCCCCAGAGCCCAAAGGAGATTCGTGAATTGGCGGTCTGCTCTGGGCCCCTCGGCGGAGATTCCGCCCTCTCTGTTATACTCTCTCTCTCTGGCTTCTTCCAAAGATGTGCTTCTGGCCTCAGCTAGTCTCAGGTCCCAAGCGGTCAAGGTAATCGGTCACCAGTGGCGTTAATAAACCTTGCCAAGCACTACAGAGGGCTCGTGGAGGGGTTCAAACCCGAATCTTCACTCCTTCTCATGAGCTTGAAGTCGAGTTGGGGAGATGAGAGAAAGGCCCAGACTCTGAAATGCAAGGCAGTTTGAAATCAGAGTCCCCAGGACACAGCACGTGTGGGTTCAAATCCCGACTTTGTCATTAGCTTGCTGCATAGCCACAGGAAGGTGATCTCCGTCTGAGTCTTGTTTTCCTCCTCTGCTGAGAGAGGGGACGATGACCGATGCCCGCCGCGCCCCCTCCCAACCCCCCTGTTCTGCCATGGAGATGGTCCTGTTACCTCCCTCAGGTCTCTCCGCCGCGCCCTCCGCCCCCCCCCGCCGCCTCCCTCCTCGGAGGCCTGCAGCAGATGCTAACGAGTGGATGCGATTCTCCCTTCCCGCTCCCTCCCTGGGGTCTTCCTGACTTCCTCCTCACCAGTGCTCGGCGCAGAATTTTAATAAGAGATTAATGAACCAGTTGCGGGGTTGTTTTGTTTTGTTTTTTTTTTTGAAAATAAATTTCTTTTTCTCTTTTTCTGCTCTGTCTTTTTAAATGAAAAGTGGGCCTCCTTATCATCAATTCCGCTGGCTGTGCCATGCTCCAACGGTCCCCAAGGATGGGGCAGGGTGTCGGGGAGCGCCAACACTCTGCTAGCTACTGCATCGGTCTGTGGAGGACCAGCGGACTGCCGGGGGAGGGAGGCACTGGGACAGGTGAGGCCTGTGGGGCCACAGAGAGGGGACAAGCCGCCCTTGGGGACACAAGCTGAGAGTCTGGAAGTCATTATCTTTTCTCTATCTTGTTTGCCCCTTTTAGCTCCTCTTTCTTCCCCCCACCCGCCCACTCACACACCTCCACCCCAGGCCCTGCTGGCGGGCAGACAACCCAGCGGGGTGAAGTGGAAAATGGAAGCAATTACCTGGATTATTCAATGCTTGTTGCACGAATGAATGAATGCAGGAATGAATAATTCAGTGCAAAAAAGGGTAGAAAAGGTAATGGGAGAAAATCCTCTTTTGTCTAAATGATCGAGGTAATTATCTGCCTCTGTAAAGTTCTGCTTTTTATCAAACTCAAATCCTTCCTGCTGCATTCTCACCCACACCTTTTTGGCCTATGCGGATGGACAACTGGTTTTTCTCTTCTCTTGAATGACTTCCGGTTCAGTTCAAACTGGTGGCAGAGGGCAGGATGTGTGCTCGCTGGCAGAATTTCTCAGCTTATCTCTGTTTCCTGGGCCCGTCTCTCAGGAGCCTCAGAGCTGGCAGAGTGATGTGCCCAGGGTCAACTGGATAAATGGATGACACTCAAAATGGTCCAGGTTCTCAGTGGCATCTCCATCCAAGAATCCATGTCTGAACAACATCAGACCCTACAGGGCAGGCCCCTGGCCCTAAGAGAGGACAGGCAGCGAGGACACCCTTGACCCTGACCCCTCCCCAGGGGCATGGCTCCAGAGGTAGCCAAACCGTAAACAGAATCAGCTACCATCACACTGAGGGACAACCTCTCTGCTTTTCTGAGGGAGAGAAGAGGAGGAAGGGAAATGGGTCCTGCTCTTGGGGAGTGCCCAGGATGACAAGGGAGACACAGTCTCGTCTTCAGAGAGGCCCCCATCTGACGAGGGAGGCGCAGCCCCAGCCTCAGAGATGGCCTTTGTCCCCTTGCACAGTGAGGGTCTGATGGTGAGAGACGAGATGACCACTCTGCCCAGAAGTTGTAGGACCCTACTTTGCAGGCCTTCCCCCTACACTGCCCCCAGCCCCTAGGGCTGTAGGGAGCCTGGCTCTGAGCCAAAAGCCAGCGTATTTTTGGTGGCCTGGTACAGATGATGCAGCAGACTTGTCACGGCAGGAGAGCATGTCCGTGGGAGCTGGCCGAGCAGGCGCCCACTCGCCCGCATACGCATTCAGTCATGGGCACACCCTGGTAACACCGAGAGTTCTAGCAGCTCTTTGGAGCTCAGAGCCGTGACCTCGTTTGAGTCTCAGCAGCCGCCCACTGAAGGCACAATTGGGGTCCCATTTTACAGAGAGCAAAGCTGAGGCTCAACAGATTCCTGGCCACACCAGTTCTGGGGTCGGGTTTTCTGATCCTGCCTGTGGAGGTCTTCTTGCCATACCTCTCTGTCTCACGCATATGGGGAATGAGCACAGACACGGACTGACAGACACACGGGCCCATCCACCTGAGCAAGGCCCACCCCAGCTGACCCCGCTGATCTCTCCTGTCTCGTCTTCAGCTCCTCTCCCCCTTGCTCTCCAGGCTTCTTCCAGTCCCTTGAATGAGTCACATTCTTTTCTGTGTCAGAGTCTCTGGACATACTGTTCCCTCTTACCAGAACACTCTTCCACCCCTGTCTCCTACTCAGCCTTCAGACTGGAGTGTATCCACACTTCCTCCTGGAAGCCCGCCCTGATTCTCAGATGAACTACTATTTAGTTTAGACCTGGAAGGGGTGTGACCTCTTCCTGCCCTGTGTTCTGGGTCTCCTGGGATGTCTGGAATAAAGGAGGCATCTCATGGTTTGTCAGATGAGTCGATGAGTGAACACTTGTGCGCACACTTGTCCCTGTGGACACCTTCCCTGTCACTCAACAAGTATACAGTCAGTGCTTACTATGGGCCAGGCACTGTTCTAGGCACTGGTCATAATCCGTGAACACAACAGAAACCCCTGCACTCCTGGAGCCTATACTCCTGTGGGGGCAGGGGGAGGCAGACAGTAAATAATAAATCTGTTAAATAAGTAAATTATATAGTATGTTAGAAGGCAACAAGTGCTAAGGAAAATAAGAAGAAAGTAGGGTAAGAGGAATTGGGAGTTCCAGTGTTGTGTGTGTGTGTTGGGGGGCGTTGTGCAGTATTAAAACGAATGCTCATTTGAGAAAGTGTCATTAAGCAACTTGAAGGAGGTGAGGGAGGAAGCTAAGTGAATATGTGAATATTGCAGAGGGACCTGCCCTAGGGCAGGAGTGGGCCTGACCGGTCAAGGTACAGCACGGAGGCCGGAGGGGCGGGAACACAGTGAAGGATGGGGTGGGGGAGGAGACGGGGTGGAAGGGGGAGGCCCCAGGAAGAACATTGACTAGTAGGCTGAGTGAAACGGGGAGCCATAGCGGGGTTTGGAGCAGGAGTGGGCCGCGCTGGCCCGCAGCTGCAGGCTTGCAGAGCTCCACAACCTGCTGGGATGGGGACGGGACCCCACTGCCGCGGGGAGGGACCACTGTCTGCTGTCTTTCAGCTCTTGCCCCTCACAGTGCTGGCTGTGGCTGCCTTTCCTGCCACCCCATTAGGGTGTGCAGGGGGCAGACTGAAGCAGAGACCACCCAAGGACTGGCAAGGCTGGTTTCCAGACCTGCCCGGCCCGACTGGCTGTGTGGCCGCCCCCTCTCCTCTGTGGGCCTGGCCTCCTGTCTGCAAAATGGGGCCGCGGCACCAGGTGCTCCCACAGCCTCTTCTTGCTCAGACCCCCACCTCGCCTCCGCGATGGAGGCCAGAGGCCCGTGTCCTCATCTCCACCGGGCATTTGGGACGCTAAGCAATCTTCAGTTCCTTTCGCAGATTCCGATTTTCTAGCTAATCATCTGCCTTTACAGAAAACTCGCTCCGGGGTGTGGGGGTTACATGCGCTTGTTTGGACAGGGGTCTTACAGCGCTCTGCTCTGGGGGTGTGACAGCCAGGATGTTTGCAGGCTCTGTGTGCAGGGGATGCAGGCCCGACTTCCCCGGGTCCCCGAGTGCCCCCAGTGACTCCGGATTACCCGTGCTTTGACCCCTCTGCTTGTCCCTGTTGTAGGTCTGCGAGTGCTCAGTTGGTGGCACTCCTGCCACTGCCAGCCTCCTGCCTCCACATGACCACTGCAGCCCACGCCTCTTAGCCAAGGAGGTGACCTGCCCCGGGGCGACCCACGCTCTCCCCTGCCCTGTCCCTCCTGGGGAGAGACAGGCGTATGGGGCTTTTGTCCAACAGGAAGGAACTCTTGGATTGGAAATAGGAAAAACTGCCATTTTCCCAGCTGCCAACACAGCAAAGAAACGATCTCAATTTTCTGTGGCTGTTCTCGGCAGGAGAAAAACTGCCGGCCGCCAGCCCCGCGCATGAGAGGTCTGGAGTGCTGGGGAAAGGAGGCGAGGCGGGCGCAGGGGAGGTGGGGGGATGAGAAGCGGGGGACTGGTGTAGTGCAGAGGGCTGGGCTCCCCACTCGGGCACTGCAGCCCTCCTGCCTGGGAAGCCCTCCCCACCCCAGCCCCACTCAGCACACACCTGTGTCTGAGCAGCTATGGGACTATCTAGTTATCTTAATAGTCACTTGTATTAACTGAGCAGCTACTGTGTGGCACGCCCTGTGCTGGGCACCAGGCGTCACTCCCGTGGAGCCAGCGGGAGACTCTGTTCTGTTTCGGCGTGGTCCTGATGCTCACAGCCCTCCTCCACCCTCACCCTTTCCCTGCACTTGTCTCTAAAACCAAACTGCCTGGCTTCATCATTTCCTGTGTGATCTGGGGCAAGTTACTTAACCACTCTGTGTCTCAGTGTCCTCATCTGCAAATGATTATAAAGGTACCCAACTTCTAGGGCGGTTGTGATGAGTAAATGAGTCATTATTCCATGTCAAATATTTAGAATAGTGCTGGCACGTGCTCAGTGTCCACAAATGACAGTGGTCATTATTATTGTTATTAATATTGTTAGTACCTGCCAGGCACTGAGTTAAGTGTAAAGATGAAGAAAATACAGTGTCTGTCCCAAGAGGAGCTTCTAAGGTGGTGTGCTGGGGAGATGGGCTGTGTCTGCACCGATTGTGATGGAATGTGGTCATAGACGTGTTGGAAGGGCTACTGTGGTGGAGGGAGAAGTCCTATACCTGTTGGAGGGATCGGGGGAGGCTTCATGGAGGAGGTGTCACTTCAGGAGGCCTTAACCAGCTTCGAGAATTCTGCCTCTAAAGTCTCATCAGTCAGCATCTACTGTGTGGCTGATACCCTGGGGAAGACAGAAACTCAGGGCAAGAAGCGTCGCTGGCCTCCCAGCTCTGAGTCCAGTATGGGGAGAGCCAAGGCTGCCTGTGTACCAGGATAGTGGGCTATGTGCAGGGTACATGGTTGAAATTCTTTACCTGGATGATCTCCTAAGACCTCTCAGAACTTTGACCCTATGTTCCATGCAGCGCTGGGGAGCTGTTGAGTGTTATAGAGTGAGGGAGTGACAGGATCGAGACAGGGTTCTCAGAAGGACTTGCTTGGGGACCATTTGTAGGTTGGAGCAGTGTTGAAGGAAGCTGTGGCAGCAGCTGATCCGAGGGCTCTTGGGATAGGAAATGACCACTAGAAGTCATCAGAGGTCCCACCACATGGCAGAGAGCCCACTCTTGGGACCAGGGGGACAGATGGGAGTGCTGGCTCTGCCTCTTCCCAGCGGCCTGACTTCTCTTTTCTGCTCCTTGGTTTTGCCTCTGAAAGACTGAATGAGAGGCACAGAGCCTGCAGCAGACAGCGCAGGGTTTGAAGCCATCTTTCTTGTTTCAGCAGCTAAGGCCCAGAGAGCGAAAGGGACTTGCCTGTGGCTCACAGCTGACTGACGCCCCGGGGGTACAGGAGTGTCTACTTGCTTCTCCAGTCGGCACTCCTGGGGAACGTGGCCGAGTAGAAGAACCGAGGGAGACAAGATCTCCCTCGCTATTTTTAATAGAGGCCCAGCCTCCCTCCTCGCTCCTCACCACTGAGGGGTCAGATCTGCTCAGGGGTCACTGTCAGCCTTTGGGCTCCAAGAAAGCCTCAGAAGAACCACTCGTGTCACAGAATGGTGGTGGGTTTTGGGGTCACGCAAATGTCGGTTCGAATCCCAGTCGGGTGACAGTGTGGCTGGGTGACCTGGGAGCACCTGCCTGCCTTGTCGCCTGAGCCTCAGCTTTCCCGTCTGCAGAATGGGAGTAGTAGCATCATCTCTTGGGCCGGGCTGCCCCCAGGACAAGATACCACAGCGTGTGTAGAAGTGCCAGCACCAAGGCTGAGAGCCTGCTGGAGGGCTCGTAGACGGGTGGGTTCCGTTTGTTTCCCTCTGTTCTCTCCCGGAGCCAGGCCTCGCTGCTGGGAAGCACGTCGAAGACCATGCCAAGGACTTCCCGGAGAGCTGCTTTGTAGTAGTGGGGCTGTTTTGTTTTGTTTTGTTTGGGGTCTTATTTTTCTGACCCTTGATGCCTCCTAGCAACATGCTTCTTATTTTAAAAACTGCAGTGGCCAGCTGCCGGCCCCTCTCCCTCGCTCCCTTCCTCCCTCCTTCCTTTCCCAGGGGAGCAGCCACAGCATCACCCCCCACCGTTCCTGGTGCCTCTCCTGCCCGGGGTGGAGGAGGCCTTCCTGGGTGCCACAGCTGGCTACACTGCAATGCCAGGGTGGTACCCGGCCGGCGAGGCCAGGGCTTCCTAAGATTTGCATCTCCTCCACGGCAGCCCCAGGGTGGGCATAAGGGCTGCTTGTACACCGACAAGGCAGGCAGCCCTGCCTCCCCAGGCAGCCAGAGCCTTTGCCAGAATCAGGTCTAGGGTTTTGGGGAGTTTCTGACACGGAGCCGGAGCCGGGTGTCCCTGAAACACTTGCTCTGATGCATCCTGCAGCCTGAAGGCTCGAGGAGACCATGGTCCCACAGCTAACTCCTCTCACTCTTCATTCTCAGATTCCTCATCTGCAAACAGTAGGAAGGAAAGCAGACCCATCCCCTGGGGGTGTTGGGGGCGGGGTATCTGAGGTGATGCCCCCTGCCGGCAGGGTCAGAACTCAGGCCCTGGTCACTGTACCATTTATTATTCATCGGGAGCCCTTAGGAGTCACCACAAACAACCCGATCCACCCCAAGGGCCCCTCAGCTCCCCAGCCTCCCACCTCATTCCTCCTCTCCCGCAGGTGTTCTGTGCTGCATTGTCGGTCTCTCGGCTGACTGCGCGGCCTCGGACAAATCCTTTCCTCCCGCTGGAGTTGAGTTTCCTGTCTTTGAGATCAGGGTGGCTGAGCTGGGTCAGTGCTGTCCAGTGGAAATATACCATGAGCCACATGTGTTATTTAATTTTTTTTTTTAGTTATCACGTAAGAAAAAATAAAAAGAAACAAGTGAAATGAATTTTAATAATATATTTTAATCAATATATCCAAAAGATCATTTCAACATGTAAGTGGTATAAAAATTATTAATGAGATATTTTACAGTCTTTTTTAAATTTTGTATTAAATCTTTGAAATCCCCTATGCATTTTACGCTTACAGCAGCACATCTCGATTCCAGTTGCTACACAGCCACGTGCGGCGAGTGGCTGCCATCCTGGACAGCCCAGGGCTGGGTGCTCCCGTACCGAACTCTCCCTCAGAGCTACGTCTAGGGCCCTGGAGTCAGTGCTCTGGGGCCTGGGGAACTGGGCCACTGTCCTCTCTGCTGCCCTTGGAGGTTCCCCGCCCGGCATGGAGACTGCTTAGCTCCTCCCCAGCCCTGGCGTGGTTCATGCTGGCCATGGTGACTCCATTCATGGAGCTCCCAGAGGCCACTTTCCTTCCCCTTCTGCCGGGAGATCCTGGAAACATGGGGCAGATAAGTCACTCTCCTGCTCAGAACCCTCCGCCGCATGGAGAGCCAGCGCCAGAGTCCTCACCGTGGCTGACGAGGCTGGCATGATCTGTCCTCTTCCAGACAATGCCTCTGTGACCGTATCTTCCTTCCCACCTGCTCGTCTCCAGCCAGTGTCCTCCTCGCTATCCTCACACATGCCAGGCACTGAGCCTCGGGGACTTGACTCTTGCTGCCCCTCTGCCTGGCCTTTTCCCCCAAATAAGCATCACTCATCCCCTTACCTCCTTCAGGCCTCCACTCAAATGCATCTTACCCGAGTGGCCCTCCCTGGCCGCCCCCATCCAGAATAGCCTGCCCACCCTCACTCCGTCCCCCCGCCCAGCTCCGCCTCCCTCCCCCTGACATACTGTGTAGTTATGTGTCTGCTTGTCATAGACTGACACCCCCTGCCCCCAGTAGAATGGGAGCCCCTGAGAGTGGGGGCCACATTTCTTTGTTCACTGCTGGCTTTCCAACACGTGACTGGTGCCTGGCACAGAGGTGATGCTCAATACAGATTTGTGGAATGAATGAGTCAGAAGGTTGCTCCTGCCCATCCTCTCGTCCTTTCCACCCGGGGAGCCACTAGGAAGAGAGATCTGGGAGCTAAACGGGTGACGGACCAGAGGGGGGACACTTATTCCTTCATTCACTCATTCATTCATTCATTCATACAATCATCCACCATATCCTGGCTTTGTGGTCTTGGGAAAATTACTTCACTGCTCTGTGGCTCAGTTTTCATTCCTATAAAAGGGGATAATAAGAGTTCCTTCTTTATAGGGCTGTGGTAATGAATAAACGAATTAATACATGTAATGAGCTTGGGCGGTACCTGGCTTGTAGTAAGTGCTCCATAAAAGGTGGCTGTAGTTTTATTCACGCCTGCCCCACGCCAAGCACGGTGACAAACACTGGTCACACAGCAGGGAGGAGATGGTTATGGGCTAATGTGGGGCAAGGATGCAGACAATTCCAGTGCAGTGTAATCAATGCCAGGGTGGCAGAGGTGCAAATGACTGGCCTCCCCTGGACTTTGGAGAGGGGCAAGTGTAGCTTCCTGTTGTTTTGCAGCAGCCACTGCCAAAATCTATATGCACCGCTAAGTTGAGTGCCAGCAGCATTGTGGGGTGACCATTTTGTCCAGAGCCCCGCCCACCCAGCTACCGCAGGGTGCTAGAAAGAGCACAGCCCCGCAGTTAGGGAAGCTGGGCTCTGCCACCAGCGTAGGGGGAGTCACTTCTGTTCCCTGAGCCTCAGTCGTCATATCTGTAAATGGGCTAGTAACAAAC